ACACACACACACACACACACACACACACACTGCATTGGCGGTCATTCCACAGGTCGTGCGTGTCCAATGAAAGGATCTAGTGTGATGGATTTAGTCCTGATCCCTCTAAGAAAAGCAGCACGTTCAAACACAGCCAGTTGACAGCGCTGCCTCAGCAGCTGAACGTGGCCTTTTTCGACACAAGTTTCCGGTTGTCTCTGGCGCCATCACTCTCTAAGACCGCTAGTTTTTTTCCCTTTCATTGTGTGTTTAGTGTTTCTCTTCCATACAAACAGACACAGACACAAGAGTAAACTGGTCTGTGTAGATATAAAAAATAATTGGCACACACATGCATGCAAAACACATTCTTGTGCACACAATGACTCACAAATGAGCTACATAGAGCTGCACTCTGTTTACTTTCCTTCCTTAAAGTATAATGCAGTGATGGAGCTAAAAAATACAAACCACTTCCTTTCTGTCTGAATGAGTGGGTAGATGACACTATATTTAGACAGAGAGAGAAATGCTGAAAGAGTCAGTGACAGAATCAAAGTTTTTTATAAGCTTAGAAATGAATACACATGATTCACAACCTCTCCAAATAAACTTGGAAAAAAACATAGTCTGCACAAAAATGATCCAACAAGAGAAAAGAAAAAACAATAATCTCAGTAGAGCATATCCCTCCCCCAAGGCAGTTGCCTTATGAAACCACATTTTTGCTACTAGATCCAGATTTGTAGATTATTAGAAATATCAGTCTGCTTAATATGCCAGATTTGTTTTCATCAAGATCCATGAATTATTTTCTGAGAAATCAAGTAAAGTGTTGAAACTCTAGAAAGGACAAAAACCCCTCCTACATCTGCATCAAAGTTGAATGGGTTCTCTCCTGATCTGTACCACATCCTTCCTCTACGTTTTGTGATAATACATCCAGTAGTTTTTGCATAATCTTGCCTACAAACAGTAGAAGAAATAATAGGAGGTAAAAACATAGCCTCCTTGGTGGAGTTAAAAACCCACCATTGCAGATTTCGAATTGTATGTCAATTGTAAATTTAATGAAATGTTAAAAAAGGCATTATCATAGAGGCTACCAGTGTAGAACGCAACATGGACAATCAATTACAATCGTTGCTGATCCTGTTGTCTTTGCAAACAGCTTTTGAGCAGTTGAAATGTTGCACATGCTTACATGCTTAGGAGACGAGATATTATCGTGCTTGCCCCGTCTACGTGAGTCGTCATGTGATATGCATTTGCAGGCGTGTTGGTACTAAGGGGAAAACGTGTTGAGAGAAAAATAGTTTTAGTTTGCCCGCAGCACAGCCTTTGGCAAAGAGTTCTGAAGACGGAAAAGAGATGACGGCTGCTCGCTTACATGCTAGACATTCCTTGATCTGTGCCAAATGTTTCTACTGCTGTAAGCGCCAGCAGAACCGGTCACATGAGTCAGAAAAGTGCTGTAAAGTAGATGCCAAAGCCACATGCCAGTATAAAACCCTCTATGACGGTAAACAATATCCAGTTACTGTGAATCAGTTCCTTGTTTTGGCGATGTGCACCTTCCACATGTTGATAACCGTGGTCAGTTGACGGCACAAACAATGCAGCCAAACAAAACAACAGGAGCGCTCGTTTCCGCTCAGGCCCACTGCAGACATGTCAGAAAACAGGAAGAGATGTGTGGAAGTGTGTTCATAGAGGCGCAGAGAAGTGGTGCTTTGGTGCTGTTCTATGTATCTATGTATATTTGTTGTGCAAGTGGAAATCCCCAACTTATAAAAGCACATCTCTTGATCTGAATTGGTGTCACATGTCATGTAATCTCACATATGAACCTGGACAATGTGGAAGAGGAAGGAAAGCACCTGCAAAGTTTGGTGTTTTTGGTGAGGAAGCAATACCCGAAAAATGAGTAGAGATGATGCCACTCGAATTTCCTGATTGGGGAATTTTGATTCATGCATGGCTGCTGTCTTTGTGTGCAGTGTGTTTAAAAGACTGATGGTAAAAGAAGCATCATGAAATTGAAAACCATGTGAAGAGAGAGAGAGAAAAACAGAAGCTGAATGAAGGGCCGCTACCATCGTCTCCCCATGGAGCACTGCAAGAAGAGCCAAGATTCACATTTGAGCTTTGAAAGTGTCAAACAGCACGTAAACTTTAAAAAAGGCTAGGTTGTTATATCCTGAAACAACACAACAATGGAGAGACAACTACATGCTGCAAGGAACACACACGTAGAAGTTGTAAAGAAATCCCCAAAAGAGAAAGACAGCATCTAATTTAGTGGGAGACATTAATCAAAGTGAGTTCCTGAATCAACAAGTTGGACAATATGAGGAAGTCAACCGGTGGTTGGAGTGTGTGTGCGTGTGTGTGTGTGTGTGTGTGTGCGTGTGTGTCTGTGTGAGTACTTAAATCCTTGCGAGGACTATTAGAAGCACAGGGTTCTTTGATGAATAGGATTTCATTTTAGGGGTAAGGGTCAGAACTAGTTTAAGATTGTAGATTGTTTTGTGATGGTTACGGTTAAGAGCTGGGGAAAAACACAATACCGGTGAGTGTTCTCACTAAGATGCAGGTCAGACAGAAGTGTGTTTGTGTGTGTGTGTTCCAGGTATTACTCATGTTTCTAAATCTGATCACACTGTCACTGAAGGTAATTAGGACTTGTCTTCCTTATAGGGAGAGAAAGAAAGTCCCCAATTTTAAGGGAAGAAGTGTTTTAAGGTTAAGTTAAGGTTAAACCAAGTTAAATTGAGGGATAGGGTTCAGAAGTAGTGATTATAGTAAAGGTTTGCATAAGTCTGCAGGAAATAAATGTAA